CCCAACCGGCCGTGATAGAGGATCAGGTGCTTTTCTGAGAAATTCGAAGGTCCGTTTCACAATTACCAAATGCGCGTTCAGCTTCGTGACTCGAATGCGGTGAGTTGAGGGCTTCGCCATGTCCATCTGGTTTGCATCAAAATTGAACCGATTCATCACCGAATGATTGGCTAGATCCCAGAAAAACCGTTGGGCTACTTCGATACTTGTGTTTTGGACGGATATAGTGGCCGAGATGGCTGGATGCTGGTCCTTGTTTTGATCCAGGATTACCAGATGCTTCATCTCTTTGCGAAGTCGAACCCCATCATCTCTCTCCTCCAAGATCGAAGAAAACCTACCCCGTATTTTCTTTCGCAGAGAGCTTAACGGCGGTGAATTCGAGCAAATGAACTTTTGCTCCCACTAACGATTAGCCAACCCCGAATTCCTCAGGCGACAACATCTTTCTAGATTGGTATCTTGTCGGTTCACAAGATTGCGGAGAAAGATACGTACCAGAAAGGCTTCAAGCTGATCAATATCGAGAATGACATCCTTGGACATGTTGAATTCGCTCCAAATAATCAGCTCATTCAGTTCCGCGATCTCCTTCCAGTCGAGTGTTCTTTCAAGATCTTGTAGCTCAGATCTGGCAAGATCTGAACCTCCCCGACTCAGCGCACTGAGGAAGCGAGTGAGCTCATCTCTGTTATCCGATTGAACCACACTCTCAATCCTGTCAAGCCATTTCTGCACTTTGTGGAAGCTACCGCAAGCGTTACTCGTTACCGCCTCGCATATCGATTCTCTGAGGTCAGCAAAGTCCAGAAAGTCTTCCTGCAACAAATCTTTCTTTTCTAAGAACTTTCCAGTATAATCAGCGATTACTCTTTCAGTGTAGCATTCGATCTCCTCAAATTGCAGACAATCTTTCCGCTTTGAGTACGCGCGCAATAGTTTCCTTGATCCTGTGACGCAGACACGCAAGGAGTTCCTTTTAGAGGGGATTTGGTTGGTGATGAGATGATTCATGAAATCCTTACACTCCTGCTCTGCCAGATTATCGAGGCCATCCAGAACAAGATAACAAACCATCTTATCTGGAGCCTGCCAAACATTCAGGGTGTCCAGAAGGCCCTTATAGTCAGTCCCCTGGGCCCTTCCTTCTCCCATTTTCAGTAAGTGCAGCAAGCGTCGCCGGTAGTCTAGATTCTGCTCTGCCAATTGTAGTCCCGTAGCTCTGACACAGTCCTCCAGCGGTTGCTGGTGGTCTTTAGGACTTTTTGGCATTGGAGAAAAGGAATAATAGGCAGCGAAAGTTTCCTTCTTCTTGATGTCCAGGAACATTGAGGCTGCACAGACGCTCTTTCCTGTTCCTACTTCCCCAGTGATCAAAAGCAATGGTGGTACACCTTCATCCTTGTTGAGCGCCCAGTTCATATAAGATTTCGACTCGAGGAACTGGCATGTTTTGTCTTTCGCCATGCGAAGGGTCTCCGTATAGACACGATGGCCCATCAATACCCCATCCTTCGAAGTTACACGCAGATCTTTCTTGATTCTACTCAGATCATCCTGGCGGGTGACTTCATCAGAGCGCTTGCTGACGTACTCGGATATTCCATCGATTTTACCATCCACGATGTCGATCTTGTCACTCGAATTTAGGATTTCCTTCAGTATGATCATCGATTGAACTTGTTCTTTCTGCTCGGCAAGGGCCTTTAACTTATCCAGACTATCTCGGATGGGATTTTGATTGGACATAATCCACTTCCCTTCTTTGAAGTATCGGTAAGCCTTGCCCTTCTCAAGGAGCTTCACACACTGAGCACAGAGAATTATGAAGGCCATCATGACATTGCAGACAGAGATTATCAGAACAGGATCAATGACTGTGCCCATGCCATAATATACCCTTATTTCAGTGAACCGTGGCTCAACTTCATCAATCACAGCCCGGATTGACTCATGAATGCCATGCACCTTTGATGGAATTTCCAGGATAAACGACAAAGCACTAGCACAAGCGCTTGCAGGCGAGAATGCCTAGAATGTGAATCTTAGCTTCATGAATTGTGCAAATATGAACATCCCTCCCCAGGCGGATATCTTGATTGCCTTTCATTTATCTTCTTCCTTTGCTTTTTCCAAACATGGGATACTTACTATATCGGTAGCACACTTTACAGGTCCAGTTAATGTCTGGAGAGCAGACACAATCGCAAGGAACTTTTGTCTCGTTTCTCTAGACTCATCATCGTCTCCTTTCTCGCCTGATGAGATTTTCTTCATGAGATCTTCAAAACTTTTAACGTCTTCGAATCTTCTGGACTCAAGCCTCCTTTTGGTGATCTTCTCGAATTGAGCACAGGTTTCTTCCATCAGTCGTTGAATCGATTTAAGTCTCTCTTGGACGTCTTGTCTTGACTGAGTTTCCATCTTGGCGGCAGAGCTCTGCTTTTTACCCTAATTCTTTTTTGTTTATTTTCCGATAGTTATGCCCACAAAAGATTGAAACAAAATCTGTATGATATGTTTACCATGACTTTGGTTTGATCTGTTGGACTCGGGGATGTATGAGTGGTTGTCTTATCACTCACTCATGTTTGCTTTTTGCTTACAGCCCCCTCCAACCCCCTCCCAAGGCTGCAGGCGGGGTTCGTTTGAAGCTAAGGCTGTAGGAATCTTTATTCTCAACGTCCCTCTTGCTTCGCAGACTAGTCAAACACACGAATTAGTCCCAGTTCATGGCACTTACTTCTTGGTTGAAAAAGGTCTATCCATCGTCATCACCATCATGCTTCAGCTTAGTATTACCAGGCTGAAAATGTACTAATCAGGATAAGAGCTTAGTACACAGCAGTCACTGGTCGCAATGTGGTTCTTGTATCATCTCGAGTAGTAGATATGACTACTGCTACTACTCCTACCCCAGCAATCCAACAAGGGTATCTCTGTATAATTCTTATGAAACCTGAATAATCTATCAACTCATACTTCCACCCCTCTCCTCAAAATCCTAATCTTCGGCTCCATCCTCACCTCAACCCACCACCCCTTCGTAATCACATTCCTCACAAATCCCCTCGCCTTTTCGAACAACTTCACTCCCTCATCCCCAAGGACATACACAACCACCTTCTCCTCCACAGCTCCGACAGCTTCATCGCCCGGCCGAACGATCCTTAGCCCTGCAAATCCATCAACTGTGTCGACGACTTCCCATGCTCCGAGGACCTTCTCGGTCTCTTCGCCCGGCTCGACGAGGACGTAGTCAAACTGTGACCAGAAGGTCGGGGATAATTTGGTGGCTTCGTCTTCGGTCTTGTCGTAGTACCAGGGAGTGATCGACTTCGAAGAAACTGAGGAGGGGTGTTGAAGGAAGCGAGTGACGCCTGTTTGGCAGGCGAGGTTACCTAGGTAGACGGAAATGGAGTCGGGGGATGAGTTGGTATTCTCAGCGTAGGCGTGGAGGGTATTCAAGGCGTGAGCACCGGGGTAGTTTGCTGACGAGGCGGGGAGGAGAACAAATGTGGATAGGAGAAAGGAGGCGAAGGTGGATGCAAGCATGACGAGGGAGAGGAGACGGTAGAGGAGGGATTTAGTCCGATGGGTCCAGATGTACGATGCGCCGAGGGAGGCGGCGGCGGTGAGTGCGGGGATGGTGTAGATGATGAAGCGCCATTCTTTGTGGGGTTGGGCGCTGTAGATGGCGAGGAAGAACAGGGCAGGAATGAGAGTGTTGGCTGCGAGGCCGCGAGTGGAGGGCTGGTAGAGGGCGAAGGGGATGCCCACGACGTAAGTGAGAGGGTTGAGGAGGAGACGGGGAACGGCGTTGGTGAAGTAGAAGTGCCAGGGGTGGGTGCCCCAGGCGGAGGCTTGGCCGGAGATGACGTTGAATTTGAAGGCTGCGAGTTCAGGCCAGAGGGGGAATTGTTGCCAGAAGAAGGAGTCCACGAGGACGGTAGAGGTGAGGCCGACGAGTAGGCCGAGGATGCCGGCGGGGATGATCTCGCGCTGGATGGTGATGCGACGGGTCGCGAAGAGAAAGAGGGTGTTGGTTGCGAGGAAGATGGCGAGTTCGGAGCGGAAGATGATGCCAGCGACGGTCAGGAGGTAGAGGGAGAGGCGAGCTCGCTTCCTGTATACTGCCGGACTCACGGGCTCTGGGAGGACATATCGCAGGGCCAGGGTGGTGAGGCCAAAGGCGAACATGTTGGACAGGGTCCGCGATGCGTAGTAGAAGATGTGGAATTGGCTGGCTTGAAAGAGTAAATACCAGATTGCGGTGGTCTTGCCGGCAGTGCGGCGCAAACCAGAAGCAAACGCCAGTATCGAGGCAGCATTGAAAAGACCCAGAATGGCGCGTGCTGGAAGTAAATCGCCATCGTTAGCGCTATTGCTCGAACACATTAGAACGAAGCACATACCGAGGAATTGTCTGTCAATGTTGGACTTCAACCAGATAAATGGTTGCGACAGGCCGGAGAGCATCACGGCACCAACGAACGTCCTAGGGACGGCACCAGGGAAGGCAAAGTGATCATATTCAGCGCGCAGCGTCTCGGAGACATTGCGAGTCGGAATCCCCGAGGACAGTATATCATGTATAGCCTGGATGTGGAACGACTCTTCTACCTTAGTGTAGGGAGCTGCGGCGAGATGGAGCAGAACAAGGGCCGGAATTGCGGCGAGGAGCAGCAGGAAGACTAGAGGGTAGATCAGTATACTATTAAATGTTGAAAACTGTGGACAACAACCTACCGACATCTCTCCCCATGATGACACCCTAAAGTCTTTTTTGGTTAGTCTCGAATGCTCCTAACAAGAAGACAAGAAAGAGGAGTATATCCAAAAAGGACAACAACATCCCAGCGGGTAAAATTACGTATGCCGCGATACTGCCGCCGCGGCTTCTCCGCCTCTCCTCCGCCATCTCCATTCAGTATCTCCGTTTCACCACCATCATTCGAGAACCACATCAATCTAGACGTCCTCTTCCCTCCCCCCACCGCCCAAGATGTTCTTCTTCGGTCTTGGGAAGCTTGTTTACGGTGCGCACATTCTATTCCACCCCCTACCACTCCGAATTTATCCCACAGGAGACAACACAACAAGTAACTAACCCAATCGCATAATCACAGTCATCATCCTCCTCATCAACTCCCTCGCTGTCCTCTCCGAAGACCGCTTCCTAGCCAGAAGTACGCCATCCCCCACTCACCTGCCACAAAATTGAATGAATGAGTAACTCATGGAATGAAAAACAGTCGGATGGGGCCGCACACAAAACGACCCAGCTTTCGGCGCAACCTACGATACCACCAGCGTCAAAGCGAAGACCATTAATCTGATTGCGAGTGTGAGGACTGTTATGCGAAGTATGTCAACGAACCCCATATTTCGCTATTGCATACCTACTAGTTATGCGATGTGTGGGAAATAAATGGAAAGAAGAGAGACACAAAGCTAACGAGCTGCGGGGGATTGTTTCAGTACCGCTTATTGTGATAAATACGATAATTATCGTGTACGAGCTTATTCTGGGTTAGAGTTGGGATTGAAAGCTGAACTGGGGATAATATGGTTGAGGAATGGGGAGTTGTGATATAAATGCATGCATATATGATTACTACTGCTGCTGGGATTATTGTTCTGGTTTTGGGGGGGGGGGGGGGGGGGGGGGGTTCAAAGAGATGTGTCTGTATTCCAACCCTTGCCTTCTTCTTCTTTCTTATTGTTATGTTTATTGTATGATTGAAAATGGAGTGAAAGGATTTAACAGAACAGGGATGAGTGCTGTCCTACTGTAATTATAAGTGCAAGTGCTGGGATCCTAATGCTTAGGGTGAGAGGCATGTATGTCTACTCTGTGCTCGAGTCTGAGGAGGGGTACTAGCTGGTATGCTAATGGACACCTCTGTTTCAATGTTGATAGTTTCATTACTATCTAATGCGTGTACTCGCATCGGTCTATATACCACGCAATGTTGATACATATGGTCTATCCCACGAGCCCGAAGGATGAAATGCTCACCATGACCAGACAAGATGTGACAAGTCCAGATCTCGACTTCACTCTCTTCCTACACAAAGAATCGCGCTCCCTCTTTCGCTCCTGGCATCGACAAAAGATGCCCTTCGCATTCCTGAATCCCGTTACGAACCCCATTTCTCCATAACCCATTTTTGAATGGTAGTAAAAAAAAATCGACAACGTGTGATAACTTGTAACATCCAAAACCCGAAAAACATCATTCGCCGAACGCCTCACTTGCCCAGCTGTGTGACCCAGGCACGGGTATCACATGATCAAATAGCAGTCAAAGAAGATATATAGCAATAACAAGTGAAGCAATGGTTGGCTAAAACAACATGCAGAAGCAAAGTTCGAAACATCACAATGCAGGCAAGAGCCCAATAGTGAGTAAGAAAGTAAGACAGGGACCGGACCCATTTCAAATCTTGCATCCACTGGCGACATGCCCGCACCCTGAGCAATTTCGCCATATGAAGGAGCCGGTAGTGAAGAGAAGTGTGATGATACATCAAGAAAGTATGTACGAAAAGTCCACGTATGTTATGTGCAAAAGACGAACAAAGATGCATGCTTGGTGCGATCGGCGAAATGCGGGCCTTAAGAAAGGATGCTGAACGACTTCTTCCGGATGCTGAAACTCCGCCATTTCCCATGCCCTGCCCGGTCGCCCTTGGGGCTCTTGAGAGCGTCTGGCTCGTCATCTTGGCCCAGGGGCTTATGAACGATGTGCGACTCCTTCGGTGGGGAGGTCTTCCGCGGTGAGAGCGGCTGGACGGGCTCCAATGGCGGCTGGCGTGGTGTTAGAGGCTCGGCACTAGGAACTGACGGCAGGCCAGACGACGACGAAGCACGGCTTTCTTTGTCTTTGCCCAAGCGCTGACTGAAACTCTTGCTGCCCCGTTTCAACCGGCTAAGACCGTTGCTGGTTTTCTTCGGATCGCCGTCCTTCCCGTTCTCCGTAGGATTGCGTCGATCCTCATCTGCTTTCGATGCTTTGCTGGCCTCCAGGGCAGCCTTTAGTTCAGCTTCCTCGCGTCGCTGATTTTCCTTAACCCTCGCTTCTTGTTCTTTCCGGCGCTGCTTTTCCAACTCCTTTTCAGCTGCTTTGCGCTCCTTTTCTTCTTTAGCTCGCTCCTTCTTGGATTGGATGTCACTCTTCTTAGGGCTCAAAGGCCGGTTGACAGTCTCAGGTATTGGCGGAACCGGAGGTGGAGTTGCTACCGCGGGACTTGACGGCTCAATGTCTGGACCAGTATATTCTGTATGTGTGGGTAGCTGAGGTGCGGTGGGGGCTCGTCGGAGGCCCGTGTGTCGTTGAGGCTCGTCTGGCACAGGGATCTGCGAGGCACTATGAACATGTGCCAATCCCGAGGGGTGGGGGAAGCCGTTCGGTTTCACAGCAGCTTCATTCGCATCAGCCGCACTGGCATTCATGTTCTCCATCTCTTGCTCCTTCAAAACAGCCTCCAATGTAGTCTCCTGGTAGAATAGGACGTAGGCACATGCCAAGCCAGGCTTATCACCAAAGAAGTTGCGCACGTAGTTCTTGTCAACAGGCTCCACCATTTCGTCATCAAAGAGCAGCCAACCGCGATCCTGCGTCTTGATGATAGACACATAATGCCCGTGGTAAGGACCGCCCCCAATGTGGACCACCACGGCGTATAACTCGTATAGGCGATCGGGATCCTCCGCATCGTCTGTTGTGTTAAAAAGACGAAGATGGTAAGGGTACACGACCCGATGAAAGAGCTTCTGCAGTCGCTGGAGATCCTCGGTATACTTGAATCGCTTGAGGTGCAGGGCCAGAATGCGCGGGAGGCGCTTGATTTTCATCCTTTTCTCGGCCTCCTGGAGCCCACCGCAGTTATCGCAGTGAAACTTGTTTCGCTCGCAGAGCATCTCTTCTGCTGAGAATTTCCTCAGACATGAAGTGACCGACGAGTGCTGCTCCAGATCTACCGACAAATCTAGGAAAATCTCATCGCGCTGGGAAACATTCTCGCACGTCAAGCACTGTGTCTCTGATGTCAAGGTTCCCTCGAACAGCTCGTGCACCCATCGCGTTGTGTTGGGAGTTTTAGAGCCCGAACTGATCGACTGCCGGGAGGAGTCGGTGGTGTCGGCTGGCGGTAAGCTCGGTATAGGTTGCTTCATGGCTTCTGCTTCTACATTGGCGACTACTTCGTTCAGCACAAGGTTCAGGAATTCGTGAGCATCTTGATGCATCGCCGACCGAAACATTTCGTTCTCACGGCGAAGAACGTCGAGGAAATGCTGTGGTCGTACGATACCTATCCTGGACTGGCTCGCAACGACCGATTCGAATATATCTTTGAGTGATGTGAAGAGCGATTCTGACATTCCATAGCTGCCTGCATTGTTTTTCGTTTCTAACAGCGGCAGCGACTGCAGGGCGATTTTCTTTTTGTACTCAGAAGAGTCTTTATCTTCGGGTTTCGGTGGCTGAGCGGGAGGTGCGCCGGGTCGCTGAGCGTTGGCGAGTCTTTGTTTCTCCGCTTGTGCCTCAGCTTCCTGGTTCGCGGCGAAGTTTTGATAGCGAAGGTTCTTCGCCAACGCAGCCTCTAGGGTTTCTATCGGCGTTCGTGTCGGATAGTTGAGCACGGCTTCGCGAAAGGGTACTGAATAATAGAGACACTGCAAGATTGAGTTACAGTAACTGCGCAAACGGGGGATTAGTGACATGACTCTGGGATGGTGTTCCTCCCCTCTACTGAATGGTCGAGACCGATTGGCCACTCACCAAGTATTTCCGTACTGTATAACACAAGCCAGCGTTAGAAACTCTGCCGAACCGGTGTATAGGGTGCAAGAATGGCCAACTCACGTTCTCCATGCCGAAAAACTTGTCGCTACCGTCTTGTCGAACAGAATCCGAACCCATTTCTTGCAGCATCTTCTCCAGCGGGGTCATCGGAAGCGCCAGGGGTTCTTTCTTCGCGGGAGTCGCCCCGACCGAAGGAGTGGGAGATCCCTGAAAATGATGCAGTCAGCATTGTGGTAGTTGTGGCGAACGGTGTTGGAGACGCGACAGGTTGGCTCTCCAGCGATCTAATGGGCGTGTTGCATGTCCTTTCACGGTTTTCCCAAGGATTGCCAACATAACCAGGCATTTGATATGGCCCCAAAGATGTAGGAGGCCAGAGCATGTTCAGAGGCAAAAGAAGCGCGACCAAGCCAGAAAACCGGGGGAACTTACCACATCTCTCCGGAAACTCCTCAGAAAAGACCCCATGTTTATCGCAAAGTCTCAAAGACCTTAGTATTCAACTTCATCTGGTAGCTTTCGCGGAACACAGTAGCCGACACCGGAACCGAATGAGAGTGAATGTGAAGCGTTATATCGGCGCGCAGGCGAGCCAGCCGGTATGCGACGGCAGGAACCAGTAAGCGAAGTCGAGTAGAGATAGGAGGGTTTGTGAGAGCAACGGTCGGCGATATGATGGGGTTTTTTGACACAACGGAGTGACAGCGACAAAGAATTAAAAGAAGAGAGTCTAGATGCTCGGCATAGGGTTTCCTAAATCCGCGGATCCGACGAGCGTTTGTGAAAGGACTTGAGAGGGGGGGAGATGTGGATGAGTGAACCAGGAATGGGGCGGAACGTGAACGGGCGGCGGAAATCGAAGGTGGAGAACGTTGCGGTCGGAGGGAGAAAGGCACAGGCGAATTGAAAGCAACGGTGGTCGAAGGGATGTGTAAGAAGACGAGCAGGCAAAATGCAAGGTCAGACAAGGAGAGGAAGAAGGTGAACAAGAGAAGAGAGAGATAGACTAAGTGAGAGACAGAGGCAGAGGGAGAGAGAGAGGAGAGGCGGGAGTAGGGGAACGACGTTGTTGGTAGCCGGATTATTCCCCAAGTCAGGAACCTCGAGCCATACACAGTACACTGTTTGATACACCAGACACTTTGCAGTGGATACTAAATACAGCCTTTCACATCTGCCTGGGTAATATTACATGGGGGTTCTCCCGTAATGACGGGCGGGTGCGCGGGCCCGAGCGGTTGGGGGGGCAAACCCGATTTGACTTTTGGAGATGAACGTTTCGAAGGAGGGGAAAGCTGGCTTTGACGGGTGCTACTGTCACAGATTGGGTAGAGGGAGAGACTTTGAACCATCGTTTGGACGGGAGCATATTCCCATAGTCATCCGAGTCTAGATGTTTGGCTTTCTCCTCCCCCGCAAATTGTGTGGTGACTGCAAGAAGAAACACCCGGCCGTCTTCTCGATTTCACACCAACTCCGGTAAACCTCAGTCATACTAGGTTTCTTTACCCAAAAAAACACTCTTCAGTATTTTACAGCGGTTTTTAACTTTTAACTCCTCCCACGCATCTTCCCAACAAAGACATCTGATGAACCAGCCCCATTCTGTGTTTCCCCCTCACTATGACTAGAATCTTTACCACGTTCTCTCATCTTGATCCTAGCGAGTTCAAGTGGCCCCCTTATAGCTGGCTCAGCTCTTTACACTACGTCACAGTTTCCATATATTAAAGTTCCTCCACGCCGCGTGCAATGCAATACTTACGCCAGAAGAGG